ATTTTTGTTTCTTGTTCTTTCCTTTTATTCAATTTTTTTCTTTCTTTCAATTAATAATTTATGAAATAATCCAATACAAGAATTTTTTTGTTGTTGTTTGCGTGTTGTTATAATTCCCACTTTTCTTTGTCCCCGATTTCGCTCTCAAAAGTATGGCCATCGTAATTATATCTCTGTTACTCTGTTTTTACAGCTTCTTTACTTTCGACTCGACACATGTGGAAATTGCCTTCAGCAGTATATATGTATATGCTCTAACTCTCAGCCCGATTAAACGTATTTCCTACATCGAAATATTTCACAACTGTACATAATAATTAGTGAATTGTAGTCGTGTAGAGATGCATACATATGTGTATGTGTATAGTATATATGTTCTGAGTACGGTGATAGCTTAAGTATTAAAGCGGCGTTTAAACTTTTATATAGAAATAAAATTATATTGTATACAACGGGCACAAAATTGTACAACCAGGCTATAATTTAAAATATATATATATTTTATGTTTAATTGCAAATAATGATCATTGAATTACACTTTATATAATCTTTATATTCGTATTATTATTAAAAGATAATTGATCAATTTGAATGCAACGCCTCCTGAGCTATTTTACACGATCAGAAATTAATATTAATGTCACCACAAGTATAAACAGCATGTTTCACTTAATTATTTTGGTTATGCACTACCGAGTCGTTCCATTTAAAAGTGTAACAAACATGAACATTATTTATTGCATTAAGCGGACTTAAATTGAATTCAGAAGCTTCTGCTACGGTTCCATTTCGAAAATTTAATCATAATCGCTCGATCGATATTCGTCATGACGAATGAATATGTTATTTAACACGTTAAGCGCCAAGCCTGCCTTGCCTCTCTGTTTAGCAGTTAATTATTTTATTAGTTGTTAAGTGTTTTAAAAATATTCATTAATATTTTTTTTGGTAACAAGTAATATTTAGGTACATTCCTTTATGATCTCCAAATTATTTAGAATTTATCAATAGAAGAATATACTTTCTTAAATTGTATATCGCCAACAGTAACTGACGCAAGCTGAAAAATATACTGTCAATCACTAGGGACTGACAGGGCGCTTGACGTGTTAAGATGTAATTTTATGTTCAAAAGTCAGTTTATTGATATCAACTAAAACCATCTAAATTTTATAACGTTTTAGATCAAGTCAGATTCTTTGGTACTTGATGATTTCTCCTTATAGCGATTACACGTACAACTATGCGTATTCACATTGTAAATAACAAAGTAAGTAATATATACGTATGTATTATGTATGCATGTATGTATGTATGTATAATGTGTATTTATGTATGTATGTATAATGTGTATTTATGTAACTAGTACCTAAAGAAAAATTATCAATAATAATTGCGTTATTTTAGATATGAAAATGAGAAAACGTTTGTTCTTGTATAAACGAAGATTCGATATTTCCAGCTTCTTGGACTGACTTTTATTGATTTACTCTCTCTTACCTCCCTTTGTTTCTCTCTCTCTCTCTCTCTCTCTCTGTCTCTATATATATATATATACATATATATTTATGTATATGAAAAAAAGATCTATAGTTTTAAAAACAACATTGTAATCATCTTACCAATTTACATTCGAAAATGATAACCATACCACGCTTATCTAAATGTATAATTTGCTACCGATTTTGACATTTTACACGTTTTGTCTCGCATTAAAGTTCAGGCTCGATGAATCTTTGATCATATCTTCTTTTACGAATACGCTAGTCATTCTCACAATATGTTACATCGTTTTTGTTCCGTACAGTCCTTCCAGGTTTTACACACTCAGCTGTTTAAAATAATGTCTACAAAACACTGACATCGTCGATGGAGGAGCATCAATTTTACTTAACAACTTTTGTTCTTTCTCTGATAGTCTGTCTAGAGATAAGGTGTATTCTTTGTCGAAGACACCTAGAAACAAGGGAATAATTTATGTTTGATTCTTTGTCTGCATACAAAATGGAAAACAGAATGGAAAAGGAGAAAAGCGAAACTCTTCTGTAGCAATTAACGTGAATCACGCGAGTTACTGTTATGTGAATATGAAAACTTGCCACGAATTCAAACGGTTGACTGATTGAGAATTGTTATGTCTTCATTTGTTTTTTCTTATTGGAATTTGCATTCCGCCTTACTCTAATAAGAAGCGACGTACCTTGGTCGATGTTCCCTCTACCCAAAACTGTAAATGCCAGAAACAAAATATCTCGATATATAGAAAATAGCGGTTGATTAGGTGATGATTGATTTTTACTTCTTTCTAAGGCCACTCTTCTCATAGGTTCTGCTAGGTCGTTCCGACGAACATATGTAATTACTGATTGCATTAAGCTGAAACGAACGAGAGGTGACATCGCTGTTGTTCCTTAGCAAGCAATGAATGTCTTCGATCGAACGAAAATGTTTAACTTACCTTTTATCGTCCGCGATATTCAATTTCCATTGGAGGTACATGGGCAGGCGATCCATGTGCAGTCTTTCATTGTCCCACATAGTCTTGACGCCTACTACTGTGCTACTGCTAATGTAACTTATCTCGTCCTTTTCTTGTTTCTGCTGCTGCTGCTGATCGTTGCTCAGCCACAGATCAGGAAGATGACTCGTTAAATTAATCCTTTCGAAATACCATATGAGATTCCAATACACAATCGGATGTTCCTCGATGAATCTATGCTTAGTGAGACACGTGTCACCTTCTTGACTCAGAACGCTTTCTAATTCCTTTCTTAAAACTAGAGGATTCAAATATGGCACCGTGATGGGTTCCAATAATTCTCTCGGTTTATCTAACAACTCAACCAAAGCTCCCATGAGAGGATCGCTCTTCTTTTCGTTTTCCTCACATCTGTGAGTAAAAGTCATCGTTCAATGAGTGGAAATTGATGAAAGAAAATCGTTATTTGGATTATATTGAGCTATCTACCTGTAATCTAATATGGTTATAGTTAGCAGAGGTACTGTCGCTTTATCACAGTATTGGCATACTGTGTTTAAATTCGAGTCCTCCGGTTGCCACCCAGCCATTATCTCTTCGTCGTAAAGAATAGAAGCGCAATGATGGCACCTACTCGCGCTCGAAAGAATTAGCTCAATAGCGATTCGTTCATCCAATTCTCTCGATCCCTTTGGATACAGAGACTCGGCAAGATCGTATAACGCGTAAGGGTCTAAGCCATCTCCTATTTGCAAATACGGAAACAGCAAGTTGTTCAATTTAAAAAGATCATCTTATTGGAATGCACTTGCACTAAAAACAATCAACGTTACGAACCGGATAACTTGAGCGGTTCATTTTTATCTTGCAAAGAACCATCTGTCATGGAATCCAGTGATTCGTGGGATGCTCCGTGCGACATTCTGTATTCGCGTTCCTTCAATTTTACAGGAGTACTAGTCGCGGAAATAGCTTCTTTAATTTCATCGAACTTCTTTACCACTGTCGTAGCAGCAGATTTCAAGCTGCTCAAACCACCGAGTATTATTTCATTCGATTTCTTCCCTGTAAGACTGGTAGGACTGATGGAAAACGAAAACGAACATGCATGTAATATACATTCATTAAATACTTAAACGGGTGATTTTTATATCTAAATGTGTTCACATTCCAACTTACCCAAAACTTAATTTCAAACTGGAACCTAAACTTGAAAGACTCGAGGTAACACTGTCCTTCTGTGACCAAAGACTGCTACTTATTTCTACTCTCTCTCTTTCTTTGTCTTGTTCACCTTGCTGTGCGACTGAATGTGGCATAGTTTCACTTCTTTGTAACTGGCCGCCTATCGTTACGCCCGTTTCGTCTACTGTTTGATGGAAAGTTGCACTGCGAGGCAAGACGTTACTGTAATGTATAAAGATGATAAAAAATCGTACTAATTTTTTAGAGGTAATCGCTCCGCACTAGGTTTTCATACCTGCGGAATAAAAGGGGTCCTCCCGGTCGATCCTCGACGTTGTTAAGAACAGTCAAAGTGCTCGTCGAGCAATTTGAATCATTCTCCTCGGAAGGTGAAACGATAGGTGTATTATCGTCGTTAATTAAAGCGCCTAAGGGATCATTTTCCGTGACTGGTGTACGAACAGGACTTTTTAACGGCGAGTCTACATTCCGAATTACTCTAAATGATAAACCAAACATGTATTGCATATGGAAAACGAATACAAAAGTTAGTAACTGAACTTGAAATTACCTTTGAGTTAAATTTTCGAACTCTTCCGTTTGTAAAGCATTTAATACCGAATCTTTAACGATGCTATTTTGTCGAGGAAGTTTCTTTATTTCGAAAGGTCCGTATTCTGGGAGATCTGAGACAGAACTCGCCTTAGTAGCTATCAATGGTGGAAAAAACAAAAGAAAAAAAAAGAAAACTGAAAATGTAAATCTAACGAAAAGAATAAATATATGTGAAAAACTGATACTCACAATCGCTGTGGCTGGCGGCTTCCGTGTCCTGAGAGTGAGAACTGTCGAGGCTAGATCTAGAAAATGCATGCTCCATACTTGCGATCTTTCCATCGACCGACAATAATTCCGCGTTCGAACTTAATCTCCTCCTGGCGCTTCTTTTACCAGCTCTTTTAAACAAAGCTGCACCGACTATAGCGTTTCTTAATTTATTCCACATCAGCTGGCTCGAGTTTGTCATGTCTGATGGCCAAGTTGCTTCGAGTACAGCCTAAAAATCGTAAGAATAAATAAAGTGTCAGTCGAGTCTTTTAAATGTTGATAGAAAAATAAATAAGTGAAAACCTTATTATAAAATCCATATGTAAGAGCGTTTGGTTGAACGCCGCTACGTTTCATGTGGAATAATAATTTCACAGCCAAAACGGGCTGCCCGTAAACGCCGCATAGCTGCATCATAGCTCTGTAGCATACCTACAATAAAAATCGCGATACCTTTTACGGTAAGGTTTGTTAAGAGAATTGAATCGTAGGGAATAGAAACATTTACTTCTTCGATAGGATCGAGATGCAGCTTCGGCATTTTAACCAGCAGATCGTAGGCTTGGTGTAAAATCGCAGCAGGTTGACTGGAGACTTGCAACATCGCTGGTAGATGCAAAAACCAAAGGCTGTAACAGGTTCCCAGTAGACATCTACCCCATCTGTCTGGCATCGCTGCCTGAAAACGGGAAATTGTAAACGAGAATTTGTAAAACTCGTCAAGATCGAATATTTTTCTTTAACTTCAAAACTGATAAACCTTAAAAAAAGCTTTATATTTACCTGTTTACGTGCCATCCTTTGGGCTACCTTTATTTCGTGCTTCGTTCTACGTGCCATAGGACTTCCCGGTACTATTCCGAAGGCACTTAAATTCGGATTTCGTATAGTGAAATTTTTCTGTGGTCTTATCAGATCAGGATTCAATTTAAATGTGCGATATACTACCGGCGATTGATTTGGACCAGGATCGGGCGGAGGTATAAATACTGTCCGTTCGCTATGTTGAGATTCATCCAATTCCAATAGAGGCACTGGAACATACATATTTAAATACACAAAATGTGTGATATTTCGTTTAACTACAGTCGTCTTACCATTTTCTTCTTCGATACGTTCGGTGCATTCGTCAAAAAAGGCTAAACCTGCCATGTCCATATCAGACACAAAACTTCTTTCCTCTATAAATCTAAAAACGATTAACTAAAATAATACAGACAAATAGTGTTGTGCAATAAACTAAATGGACAGGTTAAATATAAGAGAACTGAATATGAATCAAAATGACGCTCCTCATAAAAGTAGCACGTACCTTATAAACATTTGTGTTTTCACTAACATATTATAAAACTTCGCGTGAGCCTTATCTCGACTTCTGAGAAATGCATCTATGTTAAATAAACTAGTTGGATCAGTAGTGCCGACTGTTGGCGCTTTTGTGATCGGTAATAAGAAAGTACGATATCCTTTAAGTATCGTAGCCATAAATCTTAAAAAAGCGTCCTGTATCTCGAGTTCTAAAGCTTGTTCTTTCCGTTTCTGCTGAAATTCTTTATCCACACTAAATTCTTCGTCGTCCATGTCTAAAATATTATACAATAATTACGAATAAGTCATAAAATGTTGTGACTTTCAAGATTTCAATACCTTTCATAGATGAATAACTTTTTCCTAAAGAGATCAACTTCGAATAAAGATGCTCCAGCCAATTTCTGAGCTGTCTCGCAGCTTTCTTTGGTAATAATTTCACAAGCAAGTATTTCTTATCTTCGCAAAGTGCTATATTGTTTGTGTCTAAATTTACACAATTAACGTCTGCGGGTGGATCGTATAAATCAAAGAATCTGGAGTCTACACCTATCAGAAACGGCAATGGAGCATGTAGAACCTAAAATTTTCAAATCTGTTACTATCGCCGTACAAAGTAACAAATTGTTAATAGGCTGATACAATAAAATGATCAAGTTACTTCGGCCAATCCAAGAGGACACAGCGGTATATACGGACATTGCCATTTAAACGGGAATAGTATCATGGCAATAGCTTCGCTGACTGACGTGAGGACATCAGGACGTAACGAATGTACAAGTATCTTTTGTTCGGTAAGGATTAACAACAGTATGAATAAACAATTATCGGGTCCCAGATTGATGAGTAACTGTCGGAAACTGGCACCGGATCTAGGTAACGCCAAGTCTTCCGGTTGAGTCAAAATCAACCTGTTCTTGGAGCTTAACTGGACGAGAATTCTTGGTCTCTGTGGACTTGGAAACGGTATGTCGTACAAAAAATATGCTATATATTTCTCGATAGGAACTTGTTGCGGTTTGTTGTCGCACATGCTGTGTAAGAAAACTAAAAATTTCTCAAACGTGTCGAAGAACGGCCAGTGAGACAGAATGCAAATAGATTTACTGATGTTCAACGATTGAGTCGCGGGATTCGTGTATTGCAATTTTTCCAACTGCGCTGCAGTCAGCTTCTTAAGTATTCCAGACTGCTTGTATGTTTTCATTTTCAATTGCTGATAGTCGATTTCAGCGTGTTCGACTGAAACAAAACGAGAAAACATCTTTTACTCTCTCTCTCTCGATTTACGGTATGAGAAAATCTGTGGACTTTTCTTCGTACCAGAATTTTTCATGTTCTCCATGAGTACATCGGTTGGTTGTTGATTCTCCTTGAAATTTGAAATATCCAATTTTAATTCTAATTCTTCGTAAAATGTTATCGCCGATCCATATATTTTTTGAGCTGCATCGGCAACTGTCAAAACGAACGTCGAGAACACTGGCTTAGGTTTGCAAGCGACTTTCGGCCAACATTCTATCGTCGCTCCCATTGGCAAACAGAACATCGCCACGGAATTTGGGAATACGAAGCTACTGTAATCGCCTGTAGGATATTTGTACAATATTGCGGGCTTAAACGATATTAAATTCGCCCGGTTCATTGACTTTTTGTAACACAAGTATACATCGCTGCCCAGCATGCCTTTGTTCAAATTTTTATTGATAATGCAAAACGCGTGCGGGGGAGTTTCTCCCTTGTTCATCAGTATTACGCAAATGTCAGTGACAACCAACGAATTACACGGCATTTTACGACTCGCGCGTCTATATGTGACAAATATTTTCGCTGTTGAGTTATTTACATTAGCCGAATGTCCAGTTGGAGTTTCTAATATCATTTCGGCATCTTGCATTATACGTTCCTTGCCATCATATATTACACCTGTAATTATAAATACTTCTTAATGTTAATAGATATAGTCAATAACACTTTTATAAACACGATACGAAGTAGTTACAAAAAACAAGTTCATTCGGTTCTATTTAATTTTATGCATTTGCAATATGTTTCTATGCGAACTACAATTCTACAAAATAATTTATCGTATCAAATACATAGTTTCGTAATGTCAACATAATGTAACTTATTTCAGAAAGAATTGAATCTCTAATTGTAGATCAATTGAAAATGAAAAATGTGTATAACTTGTTATTTTTTAAACGCACAATTAAACATTTCTGTTGCATATGCAAACGAGGCGGAGTATTCCATTTGAAATAATTTATTTATATTTGTTATATTTAGTAATTAATCTAATTTGTATACTACATACTGTTCTAAAATTAAGAAAAGACAAGAACATGCAGTATATTGTGTTTTTATATTGTGTTTACAATGAAAGTAATGAGGACCTTGGTTTCTAAACCTAATGCTTGCTACACGTAAAAGAAAATACATTTATCAAAAATAAGTAACGTTAATATGTATTTTTGATTAAAGCAATAACCATAAATGTCTATTAACAAGAAGTTTGTATTTGTTTAGCGTTCTCTTCTTCTAGATTTCCATGAACACAAACAGCTGCTGATGAAACTATCAAAACGATCTACTTTTAATGAATCACATAGTATATGCGTATACTTTTACCATATACCTTAGTTACTTACAATAAATGAATATATCTTCTAGACGATTTCAAAAGAAATCTTACTCATTACTTAATCACATTATATCTCCATGGTTTCAATTTAATTAAAATGGCTTGCATAACATTTGCCAAAAATAGTCTAAGGATGTAAAACTGGAAGGTGTAACAACTATGATATCCAATATAACGATTGCATCCAATGGCATATAATCAACAATATAAATATAATCGTAAATCATTTTCTTTTACATAAGTAATAAATATATAAAGATTTTGTTCGTCATATTTAAGAATTAAGTATATCGAACGATGAAAGTTAAAAATTAATAAGGATTCTTCTTATCAATTTCAGCAAACGAATTTCCTCATTTTCACATATTATTTATTTAATTTGAAACACAATATAATACTTGTATAAACTGATTACGTCTGATTTAAACTACACTGTTTAGTGCAATTTTAAGTGATACGTCTTTAAAAGTTTCCTTACCTATGTCGACTAATGGTGGTTTGTCACGACCTCGCCGATAACACAAAAAACATTCGTTTGTTCTTAAACTTCCATGATTTAGGTCAGCGGGAAAGCCTGTTACAGTTTGCTCTAACAACACGTATCCTTCTGGACATTTTTCACCTAATGCTGGGAATATTATGGCAAGATCGGTAATAGGAGGTTTCATGTTCATATCTTTCACGTGTGTTCCTTCCTGATACCAATCCTCTAATTTTTCATTAGTCTCATTATCATTATCGAAATCACTGTCTTGGCCAGGTAAACCAGCAATGACAAAATAATCCACTACCCTCCTTTCATCCATGATTACCTAATGGTTGAAAGACACAATGATATTCAGATGATGTATACGATATAATTTGAAAAATAATACATTGTATATATGTACATATATACAAGTTTACCTACTTTAAATGACACAACAGTTCTTTACATGGCATTGAAAAATCCTTGCTTGTGCTCTCTGATGTATTTTGAAATATCTATTGTCCCATTTTGATTAAAATCATTGTGTCTGTATAATAAAATCATTTAAGGAAGCTATTTTGCATCAAAACATCCTATAAATTCGTAGAAATAAATACTACTTAATCACTATTGTATATTAACACGATTCACTTCCTTCAAGATACCTTTCAAAAAGTATGTTTACTCCAATCATTCAACATTTTCCAACTTAAATCTTTATCTGAAACTTCCCAAGGTTATCTCACTCTGTACAAATATAAAACTTAAACGTGGACGAGAAGAATATATTTCTTCGTATATTTACAATGTTCACATTTATTCTGCTAACGAACGTGTTTGTTAGGAATGTAGAATCAAACACATGCTGATTTAAGTTGTACATGAGTTTTCTTCTAAATGCAGAGAGTTATGAAATACACAATTATGTTTTTAATTATTTTCCAGTTAACGAGAACGATTCGAGAATAGATATTAAGTCAAAGAAATTAAAATAGCGCTCAAGCGTTTCCTGGCGGGTCGCATGTATTTTACATAATAATCACAACAAAACGTTTCCCATCCACAAGTCGTTTTGAAAGTTAAATATTTCTAGGTTATGTGTCATACCAACTATTTTATACGCGTTTACACTCTAATCACGAGTGACGCAGTTATTGAAATGTGACGTAAATTTTCTATCGAGGGCTAATCCTTTTTTCCATTATTATACCTTTACTTCGTTGGTTTTTAAGGAAATCTGTACAACAGTCGATTCAATTGAAAATTAAAGGAGAAACGATGTCCGACTTTTGGTTAAAACTGTTACGGGCAACAACTTTTTTTCAATTTATGATGAGACATGCCCATGTATTAAGTATAGTATAATTAAATAAAACGAATCTATTATTATTTTTCTTTGTAACAACGTACATATAGCTTACTATCCTTCGTATTTATAGTAACTATCGAAAGTACACAATATACTTGTAAATGTTATAAGTGCACGTATTAAATCAAACAATATCGTCGTACATAATAGACATCGGCAAGTAGCTGTCCATATATGTAAGTGAGTAAGACTTATGCATATACAATAATATAGGACGTCTTTTTACGTGTTCTTTTGGTTCTAGTCATTTTCTCGATTCCTTTTTATGCGAACATCGTTATTACGTATGCACGTACGCAAACGTTATGAATTTGAACATTTAAGCATACATACATACACTGATTGTTAAAATATATTGTCATCGGTTAAAACATTTTGCATAAATTATAATAAAGTAAGCTAAGCTGCCCTAGGAAATAAAATTTGCTTAAATTAACAAATGTATTTTAAATTATTGCGTACCGCATATAAAATCATAAGATAATTTTCCATGCGCTCATCTGGCTTATCTGTGTAATTAAGGAAATTACCTTATTTGTTGGTTTTATTAGTTAACATTAAAATGTAGTTGTAAATATTGCGAAAAATTAATATTTCAAATGTAATAATTTCTGAAGGCGGGATACGTTGAGACTTATCTATGTTGGTAAACGAGATATCATATATCAACATTTCTTTTTCACGTATATCATACACTGATAAATCGAAGTTTGTGATAGGAATTAAATCAACAGAATTACGAGATGCGCTAACTTTTTGAGAAATAATAATTGTCAAAAGTGTTTGCAGTTAAATAACTTTAATAACATAATTCATTCTATCTTTTTGGCAATTCATTATTAATTTTATGAAAAATGTTATATGTATGTTATAGCGGCATAAAATATCAAACACCGGTAGTATGTTCTATGAGTAAAAATAAGAAAAAAATATGTTATATAAATATAAATCTGCGAACGCTTTATTATCACGCTTTATTACGTTGAAAAGAAGTTCATGTTTCCATTTCGAAATGCCGTCCCTGTTACGAATACAATTTAAAATTGTTTGTATGCATCGGGGTAGACGCGTAATTCCTAGCTGTTCAATTTCAATTTGAAATGAACCTGTCGATCACAACTGCGTAAAACCTCTGTCGAACACTGTTAAATGTGGCACTCCTCTTAGGAAATCTTCGCTGATAATCGCAGCTCAAGAATTTTGATCAGGAAACAAAACCATATTAGCATATTGATTACACTCCTTGCATTTTCTATGAAATTGCACTACGTTCTGATCTTTCGGAATTGATACTAATTTCCTCAAGAACAATAACAACACAGATATTCGTATAATTCGATCTCTGCGTTGTTGCGTTTGACTATTTTAAATAGTAAACCTGACTAAGAGGAGCAGGTTTCATAAGTACCATAAGTTTTCATAAATCACATTCCGATGTACCAACAACGAAGTCGCTATTAACTTTGGACTTCATATTTTTATTATAAGATATATTTATATTATATGTAAGCGTTTCCAGGCCTACGTTTACATAACATTTGTTTTTATTTTTACTCGTAAAACGGTACTGGTGCAGTTTGATCGTTTAATCCGAGTACACCGTATATAGTAAAACGCAGGTTTAGTGAAAATTATGTACAACTTGATGCTATAAGAACTTGGAACTTATATAAGTACATAACAGGTTTGCACTTTGCACGAAACTATTACGGCAGCCCCGTTACTCTCCCCTAAATTTCTCATACGAGCACGTACGACTAATCGTCAGTTCATGTTTGCTCTAATGCAATTGCACTATCGTGATAAATTTTCACTAAACTTTGTGTTAGAATTGTCTGTAATTTTTTATAAATCCACTGTGAATTAGAAATAAATAAACCGTATTAAGGTTCTTCACATGTGCGTGTTCCCTTAGTAGTAAAATGAACACATGCATTTAAATTATTGCAATTTTACATGTCGTTTGAAAGAAAAAATTGCTTAATAGTAGACTAGCAAAAATACAGTGTTCTTCCAAGAGAATTATACGTATACTATGATAGGAATAAAAGAGTGAGAGTGCGGGGACTCGCTCCGATGAAGCGGAATGACTATGAATTCGAATGTTACACTAACTCATAGCACAAAACGTTGCACGCACTAACTTCGGGAACACTGTACGATGCGTTAAGAAATCAGCAACATTTCTAAGTTGTTCAATTTGTGTAGGAATTAATTCGACACGATCGACTTATATCACATAAATGAACGTTGCATAATGTTTACGATGAAGAAACGTGTTTTATTACTACTCTTCCTCGTGTCGGTGTGCCAGTTTACTGGTATTCAAGCTAAATCACCTCCGGTTGTTCTGTGGCACGGAATGGGTAATTATCTTTATTAAGTTCAGTGTGTAAACTTCCGATTGAATAAAATGTTACTAACGATAGATATTGCACTGATTATAAAATTGTACAGGAGACAGTTGCTGTTTTTCGTTTAGTTTGGGTGCAGTAAAAAAATTAATAGAGGCAACGATACCTGATGTTTATGTATATTCCATTCGTTTGGGCAATAATGAAGTCGAGGTGATTAAAATATCTAATCATAATTCGATCATAAACCCTACAGTAATGTACATAATTAATTATTTGGTGTACGTGACTGCGATTAGTCACCGAAAGTATTGTTAAAACTACACATGTATTAAACTTGAACAGGATGTCGAACATAGCTATTTCGGAAATGTTAACGAACAAATCGAAGAAATTTGTCAACGATTAGCAAAAGATGAACGTCTTAAAAATGGCTATAACGCTATTGGATTCTCGCAAGGCGCTCAATTTTTGTAAGTGCAACGTAATATAGCGACTAATAAAATGAAAACAAAAGTCTAAATCTAAGAGTCAATAGAATCGTAATCGTAATTCGTATTACGAGAAGGAGACATCTGAAGCTGTGTACATTGCAGGAGAGCAATAATTCAGAGATGTCCTGATCCTCGAATTATCAATTTTATTTCTTTGGGCGGGCAACATCAGGGCGTTTTCGGATTGCCAAATTGTGGAACGACGAAACGAAATATCTGCAATTACGTTAATCGCATGATTAAATATGGAGCCTACTTATCGTACATATACATTTCATTTCTCTGTACACACGTATAATATTAATTCAACTAATTAATAATGTTGTTGCAAGTATAATAGGATTAATATGCGTAGATTATTAAACGTACTTTTAAATTGACACGTCGGGTTTTGTTTCGTTTTAGTCTCATCCAAGAAAGATTTATTCAAGCCACGTATTGGCATGACCCATATCAAGAACAAGAATATAAAACGAAGAGTACATTTATGGCCGATATCAATAACGAACGTTATATTAATCAGGTGATAAGACATCGTTTCATTAATGAATTGTCAGGATAATCGAACATTCCGAAATAATAATTATGGAATCCTCTGGATTTCTTTCCAGACTTACAAAGAAAATTTGCAAAAATTGAACTCGATGGTACTAGTCAAGTTTATGAACGATACTATTGTTTGGCCACGTGAAACAGAATGGTTTGGATTCTATAAACCGAGACAGAGCGTACAAATCGAAACATTAATTGAAAGCGACTTATATCGCAAGGTATTAAATTGAATTAAATGAATGAATTAACTAATTAATCGATTATATTTACATTGTCAATTTTTAGGATCGCTTAGGACTGAAAGAGTTGTACGAGTCCGGGAGAATTCATTTCCTAGCCTTGCCGGGAAATCACTTGCAATTTACACAAAATTGGTTTGTCAATAATATAATAAAAACCTATTTGATGTAATCAATTATGTATTAATGATTCGAAAGGTTACAAATGTTCATGCATTTATCTATACATATGTTGGTATATTGTGATTGAAACCAAATTTTAGTTATACACAAATTCTGATATATCCTTATGTTACGTATTGTTTATTAGGAAATATCTTTTATACAATAAATATTATCTTGAAGAACATGATGAGTGTATATAATTATACCTTTTTATGTATGTGCATGTGATACGTACATATAAGTTTCTTTACAAATCTATATAAAATAAGTTATAAAATGATGCGTTGGGAAATTATTGATCGGGGTAAGTGAGAATAATATTTTATAAATTCACATAAGTTCATGGTAAACATTGATGTTAACCGGTAAAGGAAATTAAAACGTAAAAAAGAGATAAAGGTGTAAGAAAAAAATTGCGAGGAAATAACAAGCGTAGCTAGTGTCAGTTTAGATAGACCTTGGAAAGGGGGCCATATATTTTCATCGAGCGCGCTGGTAGTTCTATCCGAGGGAGCGGAAACAACAGGGTATATTATGGAATACTATCCGCAATAGGTTCCACAATCTCGGTAGCCATTGTTTCGTGGTACCTACAGATGTGCTCCATTGTCGGTCTATCGGTACTCTTGCTCGAAAAGGAGAAAGAGAAAGAAAAAAAGAGAGACGTTTACGAAAGGAACGTATCAATTCTTTGTCGTATCATCAGTATATCTGTAGGCGTATCTAACGGGTGGCATCCCTCGAAATTACCTGCTTCTTTTTGTTTCCGATATTAAAAACGTGCGACGCACAGAAGATAATACAGTTCTCTTTTCAATTATTATTAGCCCGATGGCTTTTATGCGTATTCCAGTGTTTGTAAACTCAAAGGAGTTCCGGATAGTTTCAGTCAAAAGTAGATAAGAAATTGTTAGAAAAGGAAAAAGCGGAGAATCTTTTGAACGGGATTTTGCAATTTTACTATACCCCCTTTAAGAAGAGATTGTGAATTTTTAGACAGGTTCAAATGAAATCAATCGAAATGATGGAAAAGTATGAGGTTTAAGCTTTTCTTTCTTTGTCATTATCTTCTACTACTTTTTCTCTATCTCTGCTAATTTCGTTTAGATCGATGTACAAAATGCAAGATTCTTCTTTGAAGAATTTGTCATACAATAAAGTTTTATATTCAAATGAAGATTTGAAAAATTAAAANATTGTAATGTGTGTAAAATATTTGGAATATACATTTTTTATATACTTCGATAAATGTACTAATGAGTTTACCACAGGATTTTTACGGTCAATTAAAAACCATTGTTTTATTCGCTACTAAAAGAAATTCAATCGCAACTTCAAAATACATGTATAAAACAAATACGAAAAGTCTTTCTTCGATTTATTAGGAATACGGATATGTTCATATCTGAACTACCGTTGATATTGGATATTGGATATCTTCATATTTGATAAAAACTAGAGCAAAGTGATGGAAATGCGCTTTCAATTCAAACACAATGCCAACAAGTATTATGAAAAATATATGTAATATCATGTACGATGTTAGGATAATTGTGTTGCCTATACGAACTTATATTTCTATTAATCATTCCACCCGGTTTTTGGTGGAGGCTCCTTTGAAAAATTAAAGAGTTTGGGATAATAAGGCGTTGCAAGTGGATTAAAATGAGATGCTATTACAGGTGAATACTTGAAGAAAATCACCCAGTAGATAGTGGGAGTACCTCTCAAGGATAGAGTAGTCACGCAATAAGAGGGTGAGTAGTGGCGGGTAGCGACGATAGTAGTGGTAGTTGGTTTGATGCCAATGGGCGGGTAGGTTGGCATAGGTTGGGGTAGGGGGTAGGTATTCCGTTTGTATAATGTACCTACTCACTCGTATCGGACTGTCTCTCTGTGATGTGAACGCAGCCTCAGGCTTATTATACATATACCTCAATCTCGGAATACTGACTCTGTCGAAATTATGATTACTCGTCATTCTGGAATTTTGGTGGAAGACGAACTCTCTTTCCCCCTTCTTCCGATTATACTATACGTATAGTCTTTCCCCACGTTTTACACCTGTCCGTTTTAAAATACATATGTATAGTCTGCATGTCAGGACGCGTGTACAATGGACTGGCTACAAAACGTGACAAAATATGAATAAAAGAAATTTTATATCATCTGTTTTCGAGTGTTGCCTTCATTTTGTGTGTTACCGTTTTAAATTTGTTCATTTACCTACATAATATGTACATCTCGTTCAAAGCGGTGCTGTCCTGAAATGCTAGATCAGATATGCATGGTTCTTCGCGTTGCCCAGAGTTGAAAGAAACGTTAAGAACGTGGATACTTGAAAAATGGATTACAGCCGGTGGTAAGGGTGAGGGGGGGTATCTATGCAAAGCAGATCAGAAAATCAATTCTTCGAGGATGACGAATCTCCGCGTCGATAGGCGTTGAAGATGAGAAACAAAAGGCATTGTGTTCGTTTTATCCGCTCGAGCGGTCTACCAAAGAGAAACGAGAAGGTGCTGGTAGTATCGTAGCTGGTAGTGAAAATCGAGGAACGATATTCATCGGTGGCTACGAACGAAGTCTTCCTCGGTTGGAAGTCGACCGATGGAAAATCGTGAAAATGATATGCCGGACAATGGGTATTGTTCGAACCGATCGCCGTGTCTGGCCTCCTACCATAGTTGCTTTTCGTCCCTGGATGCTTAGAATCGGTGTAGCTCCGCTACGGAAAACTCAGATTCGCGAATCGTTCTTCCAGAAAACGAGAGTCCAATAGGAATTTTCCTTATTCTCCTTACCCCTTTTCTGATTCTGATTCTGATTCTGATTCTGATTCTGCTTATGCCTAGTACACTGCCTATCGCTTCCATGTAAACTACATACCTCTTTCTCCACGCCTTCCTCGTCGATATCTTCTGCTATTCCTTTTCCTAATTCTCTCTTCATTGTTTGTTCATTTTTACAAAATACAACGTCCGATAAAATGAGAATAGATTGTTTGTAAAATAGACGATCTTCACTTGATCATATTTCATAAATATGAATCACTTACCAGTTTTGTAATAACACTAATATTTTTGAGGAGGTTCAGGAGTAATTGCATGACCAAAGGGAAAGAAGAATCGAGTTAGGGCATACACACGTTCACTTGAGCATTTGCTCCGAATGAGCATCGAACGGGCACCGATTATTATTGTTCGCGTGCACATTGACAAACACAACCGATCGCACGCTCGCTTTCATATCGCTACACGTGCATCGTGATATTCGATGGTAGTGGACGCGAACAAATCGCTGCTCGTTCGAAGAACTCAAGCGAGTATACGATATGTAGGCAGCCAGGCAGACAGGTAGACATACTCCGCAACCGATCAAATTAAACTTGTACATTTGTACATGTAATCCCTTAAAAATTACTGTAAATCTGTGATAAAATATAATAACATTACAAATCGTAATTACATACGATTCGTAGGAAGTATTGTTCTTTGTCACACATACATACATATAATCGATAAAAAAATAATCGTATTAGTGAAAGATTCCCTAAATCTCCAAGTCTTTAGTCCGTTCATCGTTTTACAATTACTTAAACGTTGTATCAATTTGGGGAACAGATTTGGCCGACTGAACGAGGAACGGATCAGGGTTAATACGAGAGGTCGTAATGAATGGTATTAGCTGATTGACTTTTTTGAGAGTAGACTGAACTCGGTATAATAATGAAGTATAGAGGTTCGACAATGCAATGACGCGACGAGGAGTCGGCGGAGCATGTGCAGCCTATGCGATTAGTTTTCATAAAAGATGATTTTAATGGAAGCCCAACTGTTCCCCTGTGTTTTCAACGGTTCCCAGACAATGACTCTCTTTTCAATTGTTTACCCTACACCACCGACCCCTCTATATCTTCTCTTCTCACAATAGATCATAGATTACGTGACCAGATTACCATTCAAATTCTGTTTTCGTTATATGCGTGTACGTATTTTGGTTGATAACGGGACGTTGCCATTAATCAATCGATCAATCGACTGGAAGCCAATATCAATTAACGCGCAATGTCAATGTATTGTAGCCTCATACTCGTAGGCCGTAGACGGATCAGTCGGAGTTCGATGAAACGAAATTAGTAGTCAAGAATGTCTTTTTTGCATTCGTCTCGTCCGATTGTGTCGACTATTGAAATTTCGATAACTTGCCTGCGGATACTGTATGCGCGATCTGATTTCATTTCGAAACGGAAATACGATATTTCTGCACCGATGGAATCTATTATTGTCAATAAGCAAACAACGTTGCTTTTTAATATCTGTCGATATTCATTGGATAGGTTGATTAGAATCTATTCAGTGGCATATATTAAAAAGTCAAAGATGCGAGGCACACGGTAGGGCGATGTAGTCAGCGAACCGCAACGAATCATTATTTCCATCTCAATTAATATTTTAATCAAGCCCCCTGTACACCGTGTTGTTCCATTTACGGTCTCGTTAACATTCGTTTAACCACTCCCTTAGAGTATACCGCCAGTTAGTATACGCACGATTCTATAAGAGCAAATCTGCTTGACCGTTCGATTCTCTTTTTCCATACAGAATATGACATGATTACACAAAGTAAAATACAAAACCATTTTTCATTTAATGTTCTCGATGTCATCTGAATAAATGACAGATCGTCAAGTTAAACGAATTATTTATCGTTAGTCAGATGCCAACATTTTTACTACAACTAGAAGACTATGCTCTTTATTCTTCTTTAACATCGATACTAACGATGATGCACTCCCGTTGATTCACATGAATTAATTACATCGTTGTTAACGGAGATCGAACTGCACAATTGTAACAAGCGTAATATACTTTAAAATGTCAAAGGGAAAAAAGTGACACGCTTCAAAGGAATCCTATTGATTGAATGCGTGCATTTATTCCAGCTACCTACAGCGTGGACATTGGCCAGTTGATTAATTAGAATCTCTCCGTGGCGCAAACTGAAAGGGTTAGCTTCGTGGAAAAGAGGATATGTAACGAGCGAAGTCTCTGCATTTCAAAGTCGGATGAATTACTTGATGT